TTTGTACCATAGCCTTTGTAAATCAAGCTTTGATTTTTCCTACAGTTTATATGGAAGTGAACTGCCTCTTGGACATAAGCCATGGTTTTCACTTCAGTGACTTGTTTGAGGCTGAATTAATGTCACAGACTTAAATGTGCCGGAAGATTTTTCTCCCCATTTTCTTTACCCAAATCTTCTGTACTCTGTCCAGAAAGCCCTTGTCCAATACAGCCAGCAGCACTATTTTGGTTTCCTAGAACGAAACAACAAATACTTAGTAAGGTGTTTTCATTTACACACATCCCAGAAAATGTGTGGCCAGGAAAGGGGCAGGATCATTGTAGCTTCCCCAGACCCCAGAAAGTGGCAGAGACCTGGTGTGGGGGAGATGGTGGGAGAGACCAAGGTTAGGTTTTCCACTTCAAAGTGGAAGAAATCACATCAAACTTGCACCTCTTCAGGACACAAATATTTCTTGTTGGATGTGTAGGTACCATCTGGGCTGGCTTACGGTTCTCAGTCTTGCTGAGAACTTGCTTCCGGAACATTGGGATCTGCTACATTACTGACTGTCTCCCAGCAGGTATAGGAGTTCTGGTACCTTCTAAACAGGTCAGTGCACTTGAGTAGAACAAGAAGGCACCTGAGTCAGTGTGTACTCAGGGGAATGGGGACTGGTTTTCCATCAGGGATGAAGATTTACATGCCCATGTCCCTGCCTTTGTCCCAGCCATGATAGTGAGCAAGGCATAGGCAAGCCCTAGCATTGCTGAAGTGACCATTGCTCTGTCAAAATGCAATTTTTTTTCCAGAGGACATTAGTTTAAACTAGAAACAGCTGTGAACCTGGGGGACAAATAAAAACAAAACAGTTGATACTCCGCCCCTCAGAAAAGCCCCAGGTAAAAGCTCAATTGCCCAAGCCGGAGCAGAATCAAAGATGACATACCCTATAGGAAGTACAATAATTGCCTTGCACAAGCTGTGCTGTGTTGTTTGAGACAGCCTCTGCTCCAGACTGGCTCCTGTGGAGCCACAGATCACTCGTTAAAATGACTCGCATCTCTCCTGAATCTTAATTAAAAAAAAGTGTGAGGAGCAGGTGTTAACTTGTTTTATAGACTAATTATGGTCCCTAGGGACTCCCTAGGCACAGCGAGATACAGTAACAGAACATTCAGAAGTTCCTGATTTTGACACTTTTTGTCTCATTTAGTCTTCTATTTCTAGCAAGTATTTATTCATGTTCATTTAAAGGTAATAGTTTGAAGCCAGGCACTGTAACCCCCGGAGCTGCAGGATAAGGCCACCAACATGACTTCAGTGGAGGAAGATGCTGTTTCTGTCTGCAGCTAACTTGAGAGACTGTCAGCTCTGTCCTGCCTCCAGCTCATCACTTTCCCTTTGTGCCTTCAGAGATACTACCATTCACCTACTGGCATAGCTGGTATCTAATAGCTGTCCAGACCAAATGATCTGAAATTGCTCAGGTTAGTTTACACACTTAAATCTGTAGAGCTATATCCTGGCTTATATTGTTTTGAATGGCTGGGTTAGAGAGCAATTACATGAATAGCTATAGCCACAAAGCAATGGGGCAGCAATGTCTGGAGTGTGTTTTTGTGTGTAAGGTGTGGAGAAATGCTCAGAAAAGTAAGCTCTTCACAGAGACAAAAGAGGATATATGCGACCAAGGTGTTTGGTTCAGGCTTTTAATACTTATTAGATGCTTTTACTGCATAGTAAAGCCAGCAGTTCCTAAATTTCTTTAGCGTCTACATACGCGTCCATGACAGGAATCAGTGCTGGTATCTGGAGCTCTTGGATGCAGACCAGGTACTTTTATCTAATCTGGTGTCTAAAGCAAAAAAGCAAAAACAAAAACAAAACAAAACAAACAAACAAAAAAACAAAAACAAAAACAAAAAAAAACAAAAACAAAAAAAAAACCAAACCTCTTTTCTTTTCTGGAATTGAATTCCTGCCACCTTAACTTGACCCTGTGAAGGGAGAACCATCCATCCTGCAATCTGGTAAAGCTGTAAAAGAGATCTGTTCTTCATTTTTGCAAATAAAGGGTCTTTATCCTGCATAACCCAACTTACCATTTAATGTTCTACTCTCCAGGTTACGTGCAGGGCTGGTTTCCTCCAGATCCAGTGCATAGACAAATGACTGAGCAGCCCAACGAGCAGACGCAGAGAATGCACAAATCTGGGCCGTTCTGGAAAGCATGTCTTGCTAGTGGTGGTAGTGTTGGGCACATGATCAAGCACTGGGTCTAAATGAGCAGAATGGGGATGTGAAAATATCATCTATGTTATAATCATAGAATCATAGAATCACCAAGGTTGGAAAAGACCTAAAAGATCATCCAGTCCAACCGTTGTTGGACTTGTGTTCCATCTCCATGAATCCCACAGCTGCTCCTCTGTCGAGCTGACGTTCATCTCTCAAAACTTCGGTATCTATTGAAGGCTTCTAAATCTTGCTCTAAGCTTTCTGTACAGTAAGCAATATTATGGTATAAATATCTTTAGAGAACAATTCAAGTATTGGTCTTTCTGTGATAAGTACAAATTGCGACCACACTTACAATTAAAATGCCTCAGTTAAACATCTGGAGCCAAGTAGGAGAAATACAGGCTCTGATGCCTGAAAACAGATGGATGGTCTCTAGAATTTGTCATCCTTGACTTCCAAGCTGAACCTGCTTTGAGGCTGAACATGTTTTGAATATATGTTTGGGCTCTGCTTTCGTAGCTGAAGGTATGCTATTTTAATAGCTCCACCAGGACTTCAGTGCTGAACTGTTCTATAGACTCAGGAGCCACACAGACAGGCAGCATTATGAGGTTACCAGACCCTGCCTCCTTGTTACTGCAGGGAAATGATGCAGTGTGGTATACTGGGACAGATAATGGGTCAAGCAGTAAGACCTGTTATGATTTAACCTTTTAACTTCAGCAGTAAATCTACTTTTCTGTCTTTATTTTATAATAACTGGGCAAGACAGTGCACAAAGGATATTGAAATAGGATTTTACAGTAGCCAATAGATACCACTGCTGTAAGGAGAGCTCAACAAAGGCCTTGAGATGAAAAAAAAATCAGTCCATACAAATCATGTTCAAATTGTAATCACTCCAGTAAAAACCTCAGTAGGAGACAGCATTGTAATATTAGTTATAAAGATGTGAGTGATTGTTTATTTTTGAAGGAAACCAGTTGTGGGCTATATTGTGCTGGGTGGTGCATTGCCGAATGACTTGCAAGGTCAAGCTTTCGGGGTTTAAAGTGTTTTCCATCCTATTAGGATAAATAAGGGCCATGTAGGTTTCTTCAAATATATCTGAGACACTAAAAACTTTTTATCTAAAGCCACAGAGGATTAACTGTAAATACATACAATCTTTGGATCTGGCATGTGAAAGTAAAGGAAATAAACCCCACAGAAATAGTAAAACTTGTCTGATCTAGAGAATACAAGACAATTTTATTATCTGGGGAGTCTGTACAGTCATTATCAGGTAAAGCAGAATTATTACTTTAAGCTCCTAAATCCTAGTGAATCATAAAGGAAATATGGAAGTTGATCATAATAAGTACAAAAGAAAAGTTAAAAGACGTTTTCAGAATGTTGCATGTGATAAACTCTGCCAAATACAGATCTGGTCTTCAAATTCTGACAATATCCCTCAGAATTTACTGACCTTAAGGGGCTCTTGATAACTTTCATTTCACCCACTTTCTCTGCAGCAAGCTCTTTGTAACTGCCCTGGCTTTGCCAAAAGGCATCTGAGGCATTTTGATTCCTCATTCAAGGTTTTTAGTTCTGCAGTGTCATCTTCATGTAGCTTAGAATCGTAGAGTGGCTTGGGTTGGAAAACACCTTGAAGACAACTCAGTTTCAATACCTAGCCATGGGCAGGGCTGCCAACCCCTACCTTAGGCTGCCCAGAACCCCATCCAAATGAACTTGAGCACCTCCAGGGATAGGGCATCCACAGCTTCTCTGGGCAGCCTGTGCCAGTGACTCACCATTCTGAGTAAAGAATTTCTTCCTGACATGTAATCCCTTTTAGTTTAAAGCGTTATGCCTTGTCCTATCACTACGTATCCTGATAAAGAGTCTCTCCTCATCTTTCTTGAAGAACTAAAAATCACACTATTGAATACACCGTCTGCTATGGGGATTTTGTCCCCAGAGAGCCTGGGGAAAAATGGCTGTCGAAAGATGCAAAAAGATATCTGAGATTCAGGTGAAGGGAACTGAATTCTACCTCCTTTAAAAGCAGTTTGGCTTTAGAGGAAATCAAGAAGCTGAGCAGGTGCTGTGTTTCACAAAGACCTCAGTTCAGATTTCATTTAAACATACACTTTAACTTCAGACCCAGGCTATTTAACATGATATACTTTGCCAAAGCTGTTGAAATGGTTGAGGGATTGCAGGTAGGGCTGCCTGCAGCTGCCTGAACCAGCCAAGCTGCCAGGTGAGTTAACCTAGAAAAGGGAAAGGTCCACTGTAGCACAAAATGGTGCTGCACGAGCCCCTGTTGTGGCCCTATGGGCTCATCCTGCCCTTTCAACTTGATAACTCGAGTATTTTTTAAGGCACAGTTCTCTAGGCACATGACACCGTCTTTACTATCACTAGTAAGGGTAAAATGCAGAGCCTCTTTCCAGTATGCAGTCAGAGCTTTTCAGCTCAATGGATAGTGTGACGAACCAGTGGATACTGCAGGATCTGTACCTGCACTGATACATAAACGTGCCTGCACTTTACACTGACTGTTCTTAAGATCTGTCCTTCCACAAATTAAGATAGCAGTGGAATATGGCTTGAGAAAGGCAAGTTCTGTGAAGAGCTCAGGGCTTGGACCTTAAGTACTCAGCACAGCTGTTTTAAATTCCTCAGAGAAAATGACTGCCTTCCAGAAGAGGTGTGCCCATCTCTGCTGCACCCAGTAGATTTTTTGCTGCTGGAAATGACAAAAACATTAAGACAATAACAATTGATATTTTGAAGAATCGCCCTGTATTTGCAACAATCTTCTCTCAGGTTTCCAAAAGCTGAGCTCTCTAAGGTGAAAGAGGAACTTCTCGTGTCATCAGAAAGAAAGGATGAAGTGGAATACAGCAGGTACATACAGTCAAAACAATGAGGTAAGACAAGCCAGATGCAGAGCTAACAGGCAAACTATATTTTTCATCTGAGACTACAGGGGCTTGTTTAGGAGCTTGATTCTATGCCAAATAGCTCACTGCACCTCTAAAAAATTGCTTTATTCCAAAAAAAGTAATCTGAAAGATCCCTGGACTGCAGTCAACTTAATATCATACATATCTGCTTCTTCAAAGCATTCTCTTTGGCTCAGCATAGCAACAGAAGCATAACTATTAGTGGTTATTTCAACCTTGAGGTAATTGGATGCCCCACGACTCCACCCGCTAAGCAAATAAATTGTCTTTGATGTGCCTTTAATATGTCACAGAAAAGTAAAGTAGAAGGCCTACATTTAATGTTGTGAAAAAGATTATTCTAAAGAATAACATTGTCAAATGAATATTAAGTGTAAAAACACTATTTGTAGATCATTCTTTCAACTCCTTGTCAAATAAAGCTAGTTGAAATACAACATTTCAATGGCAGAGCTGACTTGCCAAGGCATTTCCCTACAAATAGGGAAATCTTTTTTTATTACAGACAGCTATTCCAAAGATACTCATTTAGATGAACTTGGTTTTGGTGGCTCTCTACCCTAGAAGGCTAAAACTCAAATAACTGCAAAATTTGTACTTATGTGAAAGACAGTGAGTAACTCTCTGAATGATGATACATCATTTTTCAACTTAAGTTCAAAGGAATGCAATTATGACTGAAATTATTGCATTGTATTTCAGGGCATTTATTTTTTTTACAGCACAGTTTTAGTGCCCTCACCTGTAGTTTAAAGTATATCCTGATTCTACTCTAAGCTCGACATGTTGCTGGTCAGAAGTTGAGCAGGAAACACCACTTCTCAGTGCACTTTTTCCCCAGGTTGATTAGGTTAATTGTGCCAATCTTTCCATCGGTTTTAGGACTATTCATGTCTGTACTAAGAGGAACTCACCTTAAAATGATTTTTTTTTTTTTTTTTTTGCCATTTTAATGGTGCATAACTTGACTAAGGCAAATATATGGGGGAAAGAACTATATTATGAGCCAGTGAGTACAGTCGAAATATTCTAATGCTTATTCTGGCAAAATATCGTAGCAGACAAGATAATTCCAGAGCAAAACAATAATAGCAGCACATGTGCTCTCCCTGGAATTCAGACAGAGTAATCCTTTTATTGTCCTAGTCTTCATTTTGATGTGTATGAACAAGCAGTGCCTCCATGTCAATCTCAAATCTCTTCTTTCATGTACCTTTAGATAATAGATATATATTTTGTGTGAAATAGTGAAAAATCTACTTTGGCACCTGTGTTCCCTTTGTTTATTCCTAACATTACATGGCTCATATGCAGTGATAAAAAAATACATTCAAACAACTCGTTTAAATAAACATTTTTTGCAAATTGTAACAATAAATTTGTACACACGTAAATACCTACACAGATAGATAAAAAACAGCAAACATATAGAAGAATTCCAATTTGCTACATTTGAAAAATATTAAGATTTGGAAGACATTAAGACATCTGTGTGTACAGCACATGTAAACCATTTTGTGGTGAAACTGGAAATGATGAATTGCACATTTGCCAATATCAGCTACAGTATAACAAAGTCAGCTCTTTTTCTCACTGAAGCTGATGCTTCAGCCATAGTCTTTGATCAAAAACAAACCACAAACACATAAACACAGGTTATGCCTTAAAAACATTTGTGTACATAACAATAGCAGCCACAGCATGTGGATTTGAATGAGCAAAGAAAATCTTAACAGAAGCAGAATTGTACTACTCCTGTCACTGATGAGTTCAATGACAATTATATCTGGCTGCCTTTTGCATCAACTGATACTAATGGCATAATATAAAAGCTCTTGACTTAAAGCTTGTGCAGTTTTTTTGCTTGTGCAGAGTTCCAAACCCAAGTTTACTATCTTATGGCATTTGCATACAATTATATTCCTTAGACAATCACATTGCTCAAAACCAAATACTGACATCTGCAGTATTTATGTACAGCTCCTGACCCTGTCTTTCCTATAACGCTCTATTTCATGAAAAGCCTTACGTAGAAATTCAGGGACATTTACTGTAAGCATAGCAGCAGCATATTATAGAAAAAAACATATATATATATATTCACTCTGTCTCACTAATGATAATGTCATTGCCTAAACTAGAAGCTTTGTTAACGTAGCAGGAGGTCTTCTAGATTAGAGGGTACCAAATCCTCTTTCTGAGACTCTTCTGACTACCTAAGAAAACAGGACTCCACATTGCATGACTTAACATATCCGAAGGAGTAAGAATTCACAATACTGTAGCTAGGAATACAGACTGTGTTTAAGGATCTTGTTGGTGAACTCTAAATGTGGTGTCATTAATTTCTAGTCTTATTTCTACATATGGCAGCCCCTCTTTGCTACAAAGGCCAGGAAGATAGCAATTAGTTTTGTGATATAATTTGTATCTTCACTGACATTGCTTGTAGCTTCCTCTTCCAAAGAGAGTGGAAGCAAGTGGAGAATTATATATAAATTTCTAGTGTGTACTTGATTTTTTTTTTTTTTTTTTTACTTTTCAAGTGATCTTCACACTTTTAATTCATACGAAAACAATACTGCTTCCTCTTAAGACATTTGTTGTTGTGCCAAAACATATCATGTCCTGGATTTATCAGATGTTTTTTAAAAATATCTGTTATGTTCATCTGGTCAGAGTTAACTACAGCCACAGAGCTGATGAGGATGGTGCAGCCTTTCTGCGTTATGATGTGGCCTGCCTTCTGCAATGGGAAGTGATGAAGCACAGCCTTCCTGCACATGGCCATTCATCTAAACTGTGACCTTAAATAAGTCTGTTAACATATTCACTGAATTTACATGTTACCTTGAGACAATTACAATCAGTCTCAATTCTAAGAAATCTATTTCTATATTAACTTTAGAAAATGCAAAAAATAGAATAGACATTTGTTGCATTTAACATACAAAGAAGGGAAGTGTTTCCAGGAAAAACACTGAAGTTCAAAAAGGCACTTTCAAATTCTATAAACCAAACGTCTAAATAGAAAAGGGTTGATACTGAAGGGGATCCCGTCCACATAAAATAAAACTCTTTCAAATGGAATGTAACCAGTCTCCAAATACTATCAAATATTACAGTGTCTCTATAAATAGAAAATTATATAGTGCGGAAGAGCTAAAGCAGTCCTTTCCAAATCGTTCAAGTGTATATATTTCTCTCTCTTTACTATCATTAATAAACAGTTGGTTGAGCTACAGCTGTTCTAGCATTTGGCAACAGTTCAAGTAACTTCCCCTCTGCTCTCTCTTTGCATCCCTCCACCTTCCATTTTGAAACCACAAAACTCCAAAGTTGTATCTTGATTTCATAACACGTTAGGAAAAATGCCATGTTTCAAACTGTTGGTACATGTGCAGGCAATCAAGGAAGCGTGTCATAAACTCAGCGTGGTCCTTCTATGTCACTCACGTAGTGGCATATCTCCAGTCCCAGTGCTACATCCAGGGGAGGCTACGTGCTAACAAGCCCCCTCTTACTTGCACAGAGCCTGTTCAGAAGGATTTCAGAATAAACTTGATTTATTGGACCTTGGACATGATATGGGGACCGAGAATTTGATGCATAGTCCTGCAGTTGTGATAGCTTGCTTTGACTGCTGAAATATTTCCCCAGTGTATAGTGCCTCGATAACGTCATTGTTATGTGTGGACTTTCTTCAGAAGGATTGTATTTCACCACCTGCAAAAGAAGTGACATATGTGAATGCTTTCTGCATGCACCTAGAAGGATACGCAGCTGTGTCTACACAAATGTTGAGGCAGTTCTCCACAAAGCAAGTTCTGATACTCTTACCTTGAGTTGCAAGTTGCTTACAAATGTTATTTTAGTGGGTCAACTTGTTGCAATAAATGCTAATTAAAGTGTAAGATCGTATTAAGCTTTGAAATTAAATGTGTATCTCCTTCACACTCACTTGGTTTACTTTGTAATATCTTCAGTATATTAGACACTCTTCATTAGGGATAATTTGATCTGAATGATCAAATTCATATTTCATAGCTTGCCTGCACATATACCTTGTGAAATACAAACTCAGAACAGCCCTGACTTGCAGAAATGTGTAAGTCCAGATGTTCTCAGTTTCCAGTAAGTGAGGAACCTATGCTGTTTCTAAGCTGCAGGCCTTGCTAGAATGCCCTCACTCTCAGGTCTTGATGAAAGAGTGGCTCAGCTCCATGCTGGGCTGAGAACTGGGCTGTGCCTTGTTTCTCAGGGTAGAGACTTAATTGCATTTTAACAGTCTTCTCTCTGCTTAGATGCTCAGGGCATCACACTAACAAAACCATGATGTGGTTCAGTAACTTAGTGGAGTAGAACTGTCCCCCTTGGGCTTCTACGTATGCATAAATCTCTGGAATTATCATGTTCAGTATGGATGGAATAAGCAAATATCTATAGAACTAGTGAGGTAGCATTCTCAGGAGCTTCATAACTGGAGAAGTCTCATGATGCTGAAGGCCTGGGCTCTGTCAACAAACAGTCACTGATAAACAATGAATCAACTTCATGAGAAAGAATACAGATTTTTGTACCAACGGAAGATGGAGTACAGAGAACTCCAGCCCAGCCAGTAACAAAGGAGCCAGGCAGTTAATTTATTTCTTATATCTCTGATGGCTTTCAATTTTGCTGTGGTATCAACCATAGCACAGGAGAAAAGCAAACAAACAAAGAAACAAACAAACAAAAACCCATCTATTTACTGTTAGTGAACAAACAGAAACAAAGTTCATACATAGTGAGGCTCGTAGTAAATGGATTGGAATAACTCACACAGAAGCAAATGTGAATGAAGGAAAAATGTTCAAAGGCTTGAAAGACTGAGCAGAAAGTCTATGATGGAAACGGCTGAACTAACAAAAGACCAGGAATTATCCAAGTAGAAAATTAATATATCCTCAGACCAATTTGATGCAGATAAGCCAAAGGGCTGTTATTTTTTTCCAGGCAATTACTACGGGTTCATTTTTCTAAGTTAGGGCCTTAGGTCTTACAGAACCAAAATGATGCCACCTTGAACCAATCACCCAAACTGCATTCCTGTTAGGCATAATCTCCAAAGAATGCAATCTAATGTTCACTCAGAAGCCAAGCACTTATTAATATATCAAAATACCAAGATTGCTTCTTTCTCTTCTGTTGTGCCCATGCTTTCATTGCCATTAAATTTGGGAATAAATTTGAATAAAAATAGGTTTCAATAAGATCTTTATGACTGCTGGCAAATCTACTTCTCCATAAGCATTTTTGATGCATGAGGTAATTACAAAATCATGTTTGCATATGTGTACAGAACTAGAAATACGTTTGGGCAGAAAGATCCAGAGTTATGCAAGACTTTTTGTCCCAGATCAATATAATTTCCCATGAGTCTAGACTCCTTGCCAATCTGCTGCAGATTTCTGTGCTGTCAGCATCACCCAAGGCCCTCTGAAGTGTGTTGGTGGGAACTCAAATAATTTATCAGGACAAACAGGGGATATATTTGAACAGCTAGTGAGAGCTAAATGAGAACTAATAAATGCATTACAGTTCCTGTTTTCTGATCGCACAGAATAGATATCCCTCCATTCCCATATGGCTGTGCCTTGCTTCAGTTTGCAGAGGGGTGCTGTCTTCTGGGAGATTAGGAGGACATTTTTTTAAGAGAAAGAAAGTGAAAGTAAAAAGTAGATTTAATCACCTCATCTGGTTTCATACAACATGAAATGTTCTGGAGTTTTACATAATGTTCTTGGCTCCAACCTCAGAGGCAAAATGCCATTTTCCTAGTGGAAACTGCTCCAGCACCTGATGAAACTTCATTTGCCAGGATGTAGAAATAAACTGATGACAAAACTGTTAAAACTAACGAGGTATCAAAAACATTCAAGGACTTTCTTTTTGCTTTCGTCAAGGATCAAGTCTGGTTTTTGGTGGCTGATGGATTCTCCTGGGTACATCTATGTTTCTTTCAACACACTGGCCTCTCAAGCCTCGTTAATAACAGCTCTACAAGCCAAATTCTTCCCTGATCTTCCCCAGAAACACACACTCTCTGTTTAGATCCTTGGGCAGTTAAGCAAGGCCAAATCTGCACATGAGCTCATGCAAAATGATGGAAAAGTGCATGAGAAGTGCTGATGGCTGATCATGCCCTGCTGTTTTCCACCTACAAAGCTTCTGAAATATTTCACTTTGAAGTCCTCCATTTCACTGAAAAGCTTGGTGGAAATGGAAAGCATCAGCAATGACCCACGAAGACACCCACATCTGGGCAGTAGGCAAAAAGGGGCTCGATGTAGCTGTCTGGGTGAAAAGGAGGGAGGCATTTACTCCATGGAACTATTTATTCATTGCATAAATATCTGCTCTGTGACTTATTCCCATCATCTCAGCTCCATTTGGGCTGAGCTGTGTTCATCCCTCCCTAATGTATAAAGCAGAGCAGATTAAAGGATCAGCTAATTAACCATGTACTCTGTGTTTGGTCCCAAAACAGGACAGAGGCCAAAGCAACGGACTGAAAACATGAGAGTGCTGAGGAGCCTGAGGTAGAAACGAGCTGTGAGGCTTGCCCTCAGCACACGCACTCCAAAATGTCTGATAATATTCCCAGTCCAGTCAGCCTCAACAAACTGTAACAGGGTCCAGCTAGGCACAGCTGATTGTTTCTCTTTTTTGGGAACACATTTATTGTCCGGTAAACTGTTTTTCCCTGACATTGTATCTTTGTGTGGAATGTCTAAATAGAAAAATCAAAGCCTTATATTTATTAATGTGAGCGCTGTGGCTGGGAGAATTAATTATAATCCACAGGCTACAAAAAAATGGTCAGGCTTGCTATGCTAGGGTCCAACTGGCAGACACCAAAAGGATACTCTAGAATTTTGCTTCAATTTTAGTATCATCAGCACTGAATTTCAGTTTGCTTGGTTTAAACTACTCCTAAGTTTAATTAGCCACAGTATATCTTGTTTTCCAGTGCATATTGTGCATGCCTAAAGAAGGAAACCTTTTTTATTAGATATTTCCATCTTCTGGAACTTTAAGGGAAATACATCACAGCTGTTGTGACATTTCTGTACAGCAAGAATGAGTGCTTCTACCTTGTTCTGAGTGTCACAGCCCACCTTTGTAGCTGTGAAGCTACAAAGCTTCTGTACGTGGTCAGTGTCCTGGGGACAGGCTTGGCCAAGGGTAGGGCTTGCAGAAAAATAGGCATGACTTGGCAAAGTAAGCAAAAGGTTTTGTCCTTCTCTTGAGGGATTCAGAGAACATTTGGCAGTCATTCTTATTTTAAGTCATTTCTTTTGACAGAAAACAAATTGCTAAAATCATGCTGGAAAGATACTTACATTTCATCGGTTTTGTTGACAATTTTTAAAAATCTATTATGATAATTCTATTTTTTAAAAAAATTAGGATTGTCTCCATAAGGAATAAATAATGGAGTTCTGTCTCTTAAATGATACTTCAGATTGCTGGTGTCATTATTCTGGTCAGAAATCAAACTCCTGATATTTCTATTAAGAAATTTCTTACTGACACAAAGCCTCCAGCTGATTGTGAAATACCATGAAATCATTAACTCTTGATTTCAAGAAGACATCCTTCATTGCATCCTTTTTCTTTTTCTTCCAGTTTGAACTTTTCAGTAACAATTTCTTTTCATTTCATATTTTCATTCTATGCTGTGAAACAAAGTGTACTTGCCATTTGTCTTATGGTCATGCAAAGGGAAGTGTGAGCTTCTTGAAAAACATGACAGTTCAAATTTCATGGTCCTAAACAGATTTTAATATAAACATTTGTGGTCGTTTCCTAGTTTTTTTGATAAAGAGACAACTCGGGTTCAGTTCATAAGAATAAGGATCTTCGTGGCATCACAATCAATTTCTTACTGTGCTACACATGATTTTATCTATACATATCCAGGAGGTTTATCTGTCCTTGGATCCAGCATTGAACTGAGGCATGGTGCTTCTGGTGATTTCTGAGTGCACAACTGCAGTTTTCACTGAAGAAATACTTATTTATCAGAAGTAAGTTGTTGGGTTTTTTTGTTTTTGGGTTTTTTGTTTGTTTGTTTGTTTTGTTTTTGTTTTTGTTTTTAGCACCTGGAAAGATATGTCCTCTTTATTCCTCAAAGATTTTCCTAGTTTCTGAAGAGAGTAATGTAATATTTGTGAGCCTTCTTTTAAGCAATGCTCAGATTTTCAACACACTGATCATGCAAATAAAACCTGGGAAGTGGCCTTTTATACCAAAAGCACAAGCCACATACTCAAAGGACATCTCTGACAAACCAGAAAAACTTTAAATATCTTATTTTTCAAACTCTCATTGGTTTGGCCTCCTAGGCACTCATTTTGTGTCTAAATATAATAATGTGTTTACTAATTAGTTTCTGATTTAATCCACAGAATCCCCTCACTTATAATATGCTGTGAAGACTCCCTGCCTGAGAACAAACAGAATAAGAATATATTCTCAATTGCCTTATTCACATATTTTATCACATCCCTGTTGTGCTCACTCTCTACAGACCTCATACAAAAAAAGAAATCAGAGACTTGGGTGAGAATGAGAACAAATGACTTACCATTTCTGTTAATTTAACCTGTCATTGTAACGATACCAGATAACTTTTTCTTAGAAATGTGAAAACATATATACAGAAATAAGAACAACCTTTCATTTTAAATCATGGTTTGAAGGGAGTCTGCCAACTAGCTCAGTTAGGAAGGCTTAGGACAAAACATGTGAGACTGAACTATTGTGAAAACAAAAACAGAGTACATGTAGAAATAGCAGAGATACATAATGGATAGCAAATCCTGTAAGAACCTGGAAAGAATAAAGTATTATTTTCCAAAAGTTACCTCTTTAGAAGAGCATGCTTGTTTTTCTTTCAAAGAGCCACCATCACACCAGCTCAGCCTGTTGTTGGGCAGCCATGCCATTTGGTCCACAGTGGCCAAGTGCCACCAGATGTGTGCTGCTGTCTCTACAGCCTTTATTCAGGCCTAACTTTCAGTTACAACAGCAACTTCTCTTTGCATACCTTTTTGTTTCTAAGTTCCTAAGCAGTTAAAAGCTCTCATAAATACCTGAGAAATACATAAACCCCTACCTCATGGAAATGACACCCGCACTTCCCCCGCAGGAATTCTTTGTATCGTCCCATTGTGATGATGAACGTGTCAACAACTTCATAGCCATATGTTTTTGCTGTCTCCAAGATAACCAAGTTTTCATTCCACAAGTTTTTTACTTCTGCCTGCATTCCAGATAACATATTGCAAAGTTTTTCAAAAGGACTTTTTACAGGTTATTTTATTTTGCCATTGAAATGAATAGTAAAACTGCATTTTGGACAAAACAGTTTCATTATATATATTTCCTTAGAACAGGTTATGCAGCACACAAATAGTTATAAGAAAATTGACAATATTTTCTTTCAATTGCACAACAAATTGGATTGATTTAGAGAAGATGTAAACTAGAAATGAAATTAGCAGTAACTGCAATTATTTTTCAGTAGATGCCCAGCTTCCTTTCCTTCATGGCAATGTTTCAATGCTGCTTAAAATATAATTACTGAGTAATTTTTTAATATACATTTTGTTAATATATTTCAGAAAAAAATCCTATTATGAAATTGTCTATGTAACAAATTTTCTTGTAAAGTATAAATTCAGATTCAGATCAAAGACACTGAGACTGTTGTTTAAAAAGGAATATATGGCATAGGTATCTTAGACACAGTCATAGTAAAGAACAGAATATTTGTTCTCAACATATTGCAGGATGACCAAGAATAGAAAGATTTATAGCTAATAAATTTGTCTAGGCAACTCATTTTGACATTGCAGGTAGAAGGGCTTTGAGAGTAGCTGGGGTAATCCAGAAGTCCATAGCACCCAACTACATGCAAAATTTGACATATGATTCAAATACTGAAAAGGAAAACATAGCGAATTGCACACTTAAGTTGATTTCTGGAGTTTTCTGAATTTCCTGAATTTGCTTGAGAAAAAGAATAAAAATAACCTTTGGAAGCCTTTAATAGTCTTTCTATCCTTGCCCCACCTACATAAGATCAAAGTTCTTCTTTCTCCTTCTAAGTCTGAACTCTGCTGAATGCTATAGCAATTACTTTGACCATGTTTGTACACATGGATTCCAACCACTTTTCCAATGTCCCATAATTTAGTCATCTTTATAAACAAAGAAAATGGTTGGAATCCATAAGAAGAAATTCAGTGAAGATTACTGGCAGATAGTGTAAATCTAGAAAGAATTGGGCAAAATCTGACAATTTGCCTCTATAGCAAAAATCACACGCCCAACAAAGTAATGTATTATGGCTGGAAGAGGTGAACAGCAGATCTCAGTGTCATAGAAGTGCTCTATATAATCTAGAAAAGCTAAGAGTTTTCTCTATTCAACAGGTGTGACTAAGCTGTTCCCTAGTGTTACATACAATGGTGGTAGGCATTAATTGCTTTGTTCTACCTTGCAGTGCTTCCCAGCTTTGTCTTATCCATGTATTTCACGTGTTCTCTCTCCCACCAACAAAATTGTAAATAAAAATATTGAACTGAATGAGTTTTACAGTACATTGAAATGAGCCCATCTGTTACTCTGAGAAGTCTTGGGCATGATTTCAACTTGCTGTATTGCTCGCTTGGCCTGATTGTATCACCTTATGGAGGGTCTGTGCTCTGCCCAGCCCCAGTTCAACTTCAACTCTGCCGTAAGGCTTAATATTGGACGTTCCTCTAGTTCTTGGCACAGCTGACTGAGCACAGTGCCTCAAATGACTCTGATTGCAGTGGAATTCATGAAATAAGGCTAATTGGTTTGAATCCACATCAGTAAGCCACACTAACAAATATAAACACCCTTCTTTGATCCAAATAGAAGTTGCTCAGCAGGAGAGATAACATACGTCGACCAGACAGAAGAAATGGTTGCTGAAATAACAAGTCTTCTGTGAAAATGCATTCTAAATATACTGTTACTTACCTGTGATAAAGAATGTATTCCATCCACTGGGAGGTGAAAGCCCATCCCTATGGATTTGATAATTACCAGGATATTTGATAGATTTTCTCTGTTTGGCAAGTGAAAAAGATAAAAACAGGACACACGTTTTACTTAACATGCACATCGAAAGACACCACGTTTTTTTTCTTTCAAAGTCAGTTAAGTCCACACCCATAAGAAAACAAGTGAAATGTTTGCATTTAAAATTTCTGGTGTTTTCTCATAATTTATCATATCAAGTCTTGACATGGAATAACACTAAGTGCATGACATTACCTGTTCAACACCTTTTGGATAATTTGCAGGTGATTGGAATTAAGCCACTGAACGCCACCTACAATTAGTACGGTCTGGTCTGTGTTCTCCAGCGGACGTGATCTGAAACCCAGAAAGAAAAAACCAACACGTTGCCTTAAAACAGATGGCAAACACTTTAACGGCACTGCATTGCATTTCAGTGAACTGTATCTGGCACCCTGATCAGAGGCCTGATGTCATTTTCTACTACTTTTCAACCACACAATACGGCCTGAACACATTGTGTTTAATTGTTTGCTTACTTTACTTCCAAAATCTGTTAAACACATTTGTGAATAGAATAAAACACAAACAAACCAGCAGTGGAGTTTATACAGTACCTCTGCAGCAGTTGTTCTAGCGCTTTTTCAAAAGTTGGTCTCTGGTTTGCAGACATCCAAAACTGGGGATAGTAGGAGTAACTGATAAATGTTTTTCCCTCATTGATATTATCATAACATTTAACATCATGAGTCTTTTGCCATTCCTGAAGAGTCTCATTCACTCTTTCTATTAGATAGTACATCATCCCTCTGTTGGTTGAGTCACCTATAAAAAGAATCTTTGGATGGAAAAGAAGATGTGACTTAGAAGCTATACACACCAAAAACAAAAAGCAAAGAATACAGCCAGGCTGGAGGCTTTTAGATCCTTTTCACAAAACGCAAGAAAACTCTCTGTGAGCTGCCAGTGAGGGCAGGCCTGACAGCTCAGTACTAAAATTCTGACTTAGCAAACATTATCCGATTCAATGAAAAAAAGTACAAATAAATGTCTATAGTTGCACAGTTAATATAACACTTTTTATCCTTGCTTTCTTTACCTTAACATTATAGTTCAAATTGCTAATAGTTTCTCTCCTGATTTCTTGCAGTTTCCTGCTTTGCTTCCTTCAGTTTTTCATGTGGTTTGTTCCTACACAGCATGTCTTGGTTAACTTCTGTCTTCCATAAATGTGATTAATTAGAAGTTACACCAAAGGAACACACACATCAATGAGTGCAACTGCTGCCTTATTTGTAAAGAGATGGTCTTTCTTTCACTTCAGAGAGAATTAAAAAAGAGAGCTATTTTGGTGGCAAAGAATCTGAATACAGTCCTGGACTGTGTGTGACAGGAAGCACTGCATCCTAAAGGGAGCTGAAAGAGCCATAAGGATAACAGAGATGTCAGCAGTCTGTCTCTGAACTTGCAAATGAATAAAGAAGTTAAATGTAGGGTTACTTCAAGCCGTTCTGTTGACTTTGCCAAATCAAGGGTTCTGTACGTTGAGACCACAGAACTGAAGGTATATATTTTCAATACTATTGCCCTATTTTTAGTGGATAAAACTAACATTTCCTCCTGCTAAGGAAAACGTGTAAGCAATGATAGAAGTTCAAATCTGAAGAGATCACAGGTTCACTGAGGTTTGCCAGTGAAACTGCCTATGATCTGTAAATATCACAGTCAACCAGAAATGGCAAAAATACAAAACTGAGAGTCAGAAACCCCACAGAGCCATAACACAATATCAACCCTGTTTTCTGTACTGCAGTGTGCCTCTTTTTCCTGCCTCCTCTGGCATTTGGGGTAGTTGTCATCCTGTAAGTAGGGGTTGACATTTGGTTTTCGATTTGGTTTCTTTTTTCATGCTTTAACACTTCCACCTTGAATGTTGGTTAGACAAATAGAATTCAGACAACACAAGATAACATGTTTAAGAAGATGTTTCCAAAGCGTGCCTTAGAGATTTTATGCGGTGAAAACATGATGGACTTTTCTCATCTAATAGATTTCTATTTATCTGTTCCCTTCAGGAACAGTTTTAGGGACTGAATCCAGTGCCCCCTATGAGACTGCTGCGAGAAAAAATGAACCACAACTGTGTCCAAGGAAAGCTCCCCCAGGACAGAATCTTTCATGTTTCACATGAACACAACCTGATCTGGTGGCAGAGCCGAGAATGCACACAACAGTAACTTGAACATTCCATGCCCTGTCTGCAGGTTGCAGAGAATCATTTGGTAGGCACAGAAGCTGTTTTAAATTCATACATAGAAGCTGCTTTATGTCCTTTTCTGGATCTCTCAAGGCTGTTTTGCAGATTAAATTTGTAAACAGTTGCTGTTCCTGCTTGGACTGCACAAGAGCTTCTCTCACATGCAAGGGGATTTCCAACTCTTTTCACACTGTGCCACAAGAAACCTTTTTAAGCCAAGCACAACATGACTCAGAAGTCAAGGATCTTTGGCAGTGGAAGGATTTGTTGGATTCTCCCCCTCTTTCCTTCTCTAACGCACAAACATGCACACAATTATTTACAGTTTGGAAGACAGTCCACACTACAATCTGACCTAATTCTAAAGTAGGCTAACTTGAGGTTTTAAACAAGAATTCTTCAACTTGCAAAAGCTCTTAATCTCTCTGGTTTGTCTATATCCACATCTCTTTAATCTTCACTTCATGAGTCCATCACTGTGTTATATAGATGGATATCTATTTAAAGAGTAGTTCTTAGATATTTGTAGGCAAGGATATCATTAACTTGCGGTATGGGTGAGTAAATTTCTATAAAAGTACAGAACACCATGAGCAGAATAACAAGCAGGCTCTACTAGGTCATACACAGTAGATCATGTTAGACTATTTCTCTTCTTATAACATATAACACCATTTTGGAATCAGTTATGATGGGGATTTCCAACTGAAAGGAGCACATTCAGCTATAAGCTACACTGATTTGGAAAATGTGGCAATTTTGCCTTAGTCTTTGTTATATAATGACTTATATTCTGATAAATACTTTCTTTTCTAGCTGTATGAGGTCTAATCTCATCTAGCTGTATCCCAACAGCAGACAACAACACAACACAAAAACAAACAAAAAAGACAAGAAAAAAAAAATGAGCGAAGAGCCATGGCATACAGATGCAAAACATGACATATAGACACAAAAATGCCTTAGTGCCAAGATGCTAGGCATCATATAAAAATATAAGATGGACCAAAAATAGTATTATTGTTGTGCTGATATTCTGAGAATGTGAAGGAGGTGCTGGGAGTCAGAGCAGACTCTTGTAGAGCAGTCAGCATAACTAGATGAAGCAGATACTTGTCAGTGCCCAGAGGTACTTCTTCAAATAGCAAAAGACTCACAAGGCTGTCCACACCTCACCTCTGAAGAAGTAAGTTTTGAGTCTCAAAACATCTCAATTTTCACTGTTAAGTGAGCTTGTTGTGAAGAATTAAAGCAGATCAGGAAAAGGATTAGATCAATGACTGAGCGTCCATGTGGGAATGTATATTTATAACTAGGAGAAGGTGTGGCTGAAAAGGATGTCAGGAATGTGACAGATAGCAACATCACATTGGTGGATGAATACAGGTTGCACCAGGAAAATTAACCTAAATACTCAGAAACCGGTCTGCTAAGAGAATAGTTAAGACTTGATGTAAGAGGAGAAGAGGAAAATGAGCCAAAGCAGACCTGTGTTTGTACAGAAAGAGAGATATAAAATGTAGATTATCTTCAAAGATGTCAGTCAGTTATAACAATCATATTAGCTTTCAGTCAAGAAATCTCCGACTTCAAGCAGGTATGAGCTATGCCAAGACAGTATCACTGGAATCACGCAAGTCTGTTTAACTCCAGCTACTTCCTTCACAGTGAAATCACAGCACTGTTGAAAGACATGTCATTAAAATGAGTGCTGATGTCTGTGATCTTCACTGGAGGCGTCAGCAGACACAATATGGAGACAACGCGTGCCGCATTCTGAACGGGATGCTCTGCATCCCATAAATGCAGCAGAGATCTCAGACAGAAAGATAACTGTGGATTCTTTGTAATCCAATGCATCCCAGGCTGCTGGATGCACAGCACATCACCACCAAATCTGCACGTAGAGCATCCACTCATTAAGGCCTTCTCTGCATCCAACAGTCTGGTTCTAACTATTGTTCCAACCATACTGTGAGGCATCTGTTAATCCTGGAAGGAAACAGACAAATTCTTTTTCTTCTGCTTAAAAAAAACACCCAGGTGGATGAACAGGGCATTTGTGTGTAATCCTACCTGCAAAAAATCTTTTCAAAATGCCCTTGCCCTGAATTGCATTGCATTGATATGCAGACTATCAGAAAGTATCTTTCAAAGCATCCACCCTTTGCAAGCTTCATTATCAGCATTTGTTTGGACAACCCAGAGGCTAAAGCAGGTGGTGCATAGCTCCAGGAAGAAAACTTGCTTATGTCCTCCAAATAATCCAAGAGCTTTGATGAATTAGACTAATTATTAAATGCAATTGAATGTGTGGTAGCTATGGCAACATATGTTTCTGTACAGTTGCAAAAACTTACCAAAGCTGTGCATGCCACATACTATTTGAACCAGGGGCTCTGTGGATGCTCCTGTTTAGCTCTATGACAATAATGAGCCAAATGAGAGTTCAGGTGTGCAGAATATGCTGTATCTTATTTTCTCCACAGTCTGGCACAAGGCTTAGTCCTGCGCTGTTCAGGTCAATGGGGGATTTGTCTGCAGGATGACTAAAGGATCAGGCATACATAAGGCTATAATTTTACCAGACAGAGAACAACACTGTCATGCAGACAGATGCTTTCAGCGTCTTCTGTTGCAAATGTTTTGTGAGAAAAAAGTCCATCATAGCTTACAGGCTTTAAGAGATTGTGTAAGCATAGTGGAATTCACTTCTTAACCAGACCTATCATTATAAATTAACCACGCTTAGGAAACCTAAGCACCTGTAAATCCCAAACAGTACTTAACTCTAAAATATTATTAAGAAATTATAAGCTAAAATTCCTGTTTTAACAGCTGAATTTTAAGTACTTCAGCAAATATTGCCTTTTTACATTTCCTGTCCTTAATTACACATGATTCAATGGCACTTTATTATAAGACTAAACTCTGAGAAATATTTCTCAATGATAAACAAAATCTCCCCATGCTATTGAGGGTAGATTTCTATGTGCTGCTAATTGGATAAATAATTACCTGTTAGAACTCCTTTTCCTATACCTAATTTTAAAAGTGACTGTACAAAATTCTGAGCACTGTGTCTTAATAGAATTGGATAATTCTTACAGCAAATTCTTGTTAGCCAATGTCATACAGATACATTCTTTTTATTAAGATTGTCTATTTCTTTCCTTCAATTAGGGCACGCATGGAGTTCTGTAAAACAATGTACCTGCATCTTATTACCCATACTAAGAGTTTAGAAGGGAGAACAATTACAAATGCTCAAACTGGAAAATCTATGCCAGAACCACCTGAACCTCAACACTTCAGAATTTTCCTGTTTACAGTGTCTGAAATGCAAACATATGACTGACTAGTCTTGCTAACACATCATAAAGCAAAATGAGGCCTCTTATAAACTGTTTTTGTGAATGCATATCCTTTCTCATGTCTCCACCAATCTGTTTCACTACAGGTGGTCTTAGATTCTTATGAAACAGAAACAGCTTAGCTCAAACACAGTTTTATATGCACACAAGCTAAAATAGTAGTTAAATCCAATTTGAAGTCACAGCCAGGATAAGTGAATCACTGTTATAGAGAAAGGACTTGATAATTTTAGAGATGAGCTTTGAATTACAAATGCATTTTAATTAAATGTATGAAAGCAGCTTGAAATTAGAAAAAAAAATTGAAAAGCATATTTTGGTAGGCTTTTTTTACGTTGAATAAAGGAAAGAAGTGCTATTTGAATGATCGTATCTTTCAGAAATGCTGATAAACACATAAAAGAAATCAAAGAGCAAGAGACATATCTGAGCACTGTATTTAACTGCTGTTCTATGAAACATAACAAAAAAGTATAGTTGCACTTAAACTTACAGTTGATCTTATATGTGCTACATCCAAAGAGAGACTGTTGGCATTCACCTTCCATCTTGCTTCATTAGTTGCTGATGCACATCCAGATATCATTACACAGTAATGTGTAATGATAAACTCACTGCATGCTTCCCTTCACTTTTACTACAGGCAAAACAATACGCAGACCTTTTTTTTTTCTTGTGTGTGTGTGCACTGCATTAAAAGAGGTGCATAAGAACACAATCTGCAGTTATCATAGTTGGAATGTGACAACGGCAGAGAGATTGACACCTCATTTTTAAAGAAAACATATAATCACAGGCACTTATGTTGTTTTATCATGTCTAATTTTGAAGTTTTAATCATACAAAGCAAAAACCAGCACATTAGAATCATGAAGCTGAACTATATGTTTTTTGACAGACAAAAATCAGAGGCTTCAGCCTAATGTATCAGAAATATTACTAATTCCTTTTCCTTCAGTTCGTGATCAAATCCTACATGAGTCTGAATTTTCTCCAAATGGTACTCTAGAGTCAAATCCATAAAATCACAGAGGCTCAAGGGAAGGCATGACATCATTTGATCCACTGATGCTACTGACATATGCCACTCTCTTTTCCAAAGGAAGACTTGGTAATTACGTGGGCTGTTTAACTGCCTTATTTTGAAATACATTTTGAGCAAGAATTCAGATACTGTGTGGTCTGCAGGTAAGAAAACAGGGCTGAGTTGGGAGATCTCACAGTTACTTCCAGCTCTGATGGAACAATTTTACTTCTGATGCTGCAAAATGTAGATTTTGTGGAGAACAACGTTACACAAGATGAATATTTCAAATACGATGGCATACTACCAATCCCCAGAATACAGAAGTGTGTACCATATTTGAGTGCATTTTGGTAAGTGAACACGAGTGATTTCTGTTGTCCTCTAACTTCAGCAGGATTAAAAAACATTCTAAATCATCTCAGTATCCTCATCTAGGCTGATGATTTTGGGCTTATATTTTGCCCTCATTATGTTTTTGTTGTCTGCTCAGCGTGTCGGTGTTGAACCCTTCTGTTTATTTTACTAAGGAAATTATGATGTAATTAATTGATATTAATTCAGTGATCTCTATAACGTTTAAAGCTGAGGTATATAATGGTTTGAAAACAATATCACAAGTTAGGGAAAATAAATACCGATGGATGGTTATAAAAATATCTTGAATAAGAAAAATGTGTTTATTCTCAAGAATTATACCTGTCTACTCAATGGCTCCCTTACAAAACTGATAAGCAAAAGTCTCTTTCAGTGAATGCCTGGAAAAAAAAACCAAAACTTTTTCTATCATATCCTCAGAGTGTATAAAGTTTCCCTTAATCATAGACATAATCAGGACTTTAACACCTAAGCCGAGGACCATTTCTACTCATCCAATTTATGTATAAAGAAAGACTTTCTGACTTCCTAAGTTCCAACAACACGAGGAACTTGATCCAGGCCTTACAATTATTTATTTGGTGAAAGAAGCACAAATATTATTTGAAAATGCTACACAAAATTAATAATACCACAGTGTAACAACAACAATAACATTTGAGGAAAGACATAGGAGACGATAGATATATAGCAAAATAGGAACATGCATTAGGATGATGACTTATAAAGAATAAAGCAGGTACATGGACATCTGTGAAAAGGTAACATGAGTGATTCAGCAGCTTTCTACAGCCCAGTAATGGTTATCAGACAGTGATGCAAAAGGTGCAGAATAGGAAACGTGCAATTAGTTTTACACAGATTTTTCTCACGCTGTGTTAATGCACCTCACATTAGCTCTGCCTCTTGTTTGACACTAGAATGGATGAAAGTCATAACATTTGAATTCAGATTGGCCGTAGCGGACATTTAAAAATGGTTGTCCTTGTTTTCACACTGATGAATGTAAGCACTCAGATTCAGGAAGTGAATCCCACACTGCCCTGGAAATTCACTTCCACTGTGGTATACTGTTCTGTCATCCTTTAGCTGTCTGACCAAGGGCTGTTTTCTCATTGAAACAGCCCCATGTCTATGGAAATTAAAGACCAAAGCTAGCAAATCATTCTACATTGTTTGTTGTGGTCAATCCAGAAGTGCTTGTTTTGTATTTAATAAGCAATTTGAGTTTCTCTGTCATATAAACCCACTGGTTTTGTTTTGTTTTGTTTTGTTTTTGAGAAAAGTATGGTTGGAGAAACCCACAGGCAGAAATCAAGCCAAGCAACAGTGAAGAACTCTGTGCAGAACAAGAAATGATCAGAAATGAAGGAGAAAATGTTAATTGAAAACTATTATTTTTGTATCTGTCCATACAGAACTTGTATCAGATTCTTTCAAAATGTTAATTACTATTTTCTTATCTAGACAATGCACTCTAAAAAATCTTTATAACAATTAATTACTTACTTTCTGGATACTTGTATTCTCAGTAATGTACCTGAGCCTCAGATCAGAGCTTTCTCTCAACAGTTTTATAGTCATAGCATGCCTATTAAGGAGACCTTGTATTTCCAAGCAATCACCTTAGAAGCTTCACTATAAGAAAAGAATGTGCAAGAAGACTTGGTAAGATTAGTGTGCACAAGCAATGCCATGCATTAGGTATGCAGCAGAAGAAACTAAACTTGCATGTAAAGTGTGAGACAAACTGTAACAATGCAAATCCCTTCTCTGTTTACCATGCTTGGATACCCTTTGCAGGTCTCATTGAGAACCATGTACATTGCAGATCTTGAAATTCCATTGGTATGACCTGAGTTTTATGTGAAATGGCAGTGTACAACTGTGACTGCATAGGAGGCTAAATTATTGATGGTGGATTCTCTGTCCAAAACTTTTTCCCCACTATAATAAAAAGGGATTTTTCTTAAACATCACTCATGCAATTTCTTTTAAGATTCTGGAACACTTAATATTCAAGTAAATAACAAGAAATTAAAGAGCAGAATCTGTTACTTACCTTTCTGCCTTCCACACACTGCTGGAGCTCGGGCTTATCAAGCACAGAGTATTGGCAGCCATGGGGCTGCCACATTATTTCTCTCCAGTCACAGGTTCTGTTGTCAGAGCAGCTGAGGCAAGGGACAATCCACTGCCCTGGAAAACAGCAATGGTTTATTAGCATCTCATCTGTATTTTTTTGAGGAGTGCTACTGTGGAGCAAATTCTCAAGCAGTTTTCCATATATTAAAGAGACTCTTTCCTTCTCTGCATTCCTTTTGCTCTCTCTGAAAGAACTGTGAATGCTCAAATTTGACAGTAGCTTGTGGGTTCATTTCTCAGTTCAAATTGCTTTTCTTGCATCAGTTTGTCCTTTCCCAGCAGAAGGGATAAAATAAAGTCGAAGGGGTTAAAGAGGCAGAATGGGAAAAGGAAAATATTTACAGTTCTAAAACACCTAAAGGCAAGATTTGTTCTTATCTATCAAGATTAACTCTCACTTATCAGACCTTGCTAAAGAGGACAGACTCTTCAGCAGAGTCTGTGATAGGACAAGAGGAAATGATTTCAAACCATAAGGGAGATTTAGATTGGATATAAAAAAAGTTTTTTTACAATAAGTGTGGTGAGACATTTGAACAGGTTCCCCAGACAGGTAATGGAAGCCCCATCCTTGGACACAGAGCCAGGCTGGACTATGCTCTAAGCAAGCAGATGTAGCTGCGGATGTCCCTGTTCATTGCAGGGGAGTTGTACTAGAGAACCTTTAAGGATCCCTTCCAACTGAACGATTCTATGATTCAATTGTATGATTCTACAGTTCTTTTCTGAAAAGTTGAGTATTGATCAAACCCTCTGGTAGGAAAGTAAAGCAAGAGAGAGGATGGCTTTCCCTCATCAATACTCATTTCTTTATTTTTTGAGAATTCAGAAAACCATACACATGCATTTCAGATGGTTGAAGTTAGATGAGTAATCTACATGACTGACCTCCATTTTCAAACATTACTTTGCAGTTAAGGAGTGCATAGTGGGATTGCCACAAGTCAGTGAGTTTCAAGCATCTGTTTTGAAAGACTGAATGATTTACTTAGTTTGGGTCTCTAAAGCTGTTTAATTCTAAAATCCTTCAGGAAGTCAGAGGGACTTAGCTTCTGAATGAAGATAGAAAACTTGAGTTGCCTTTATATTCACTTCCACTTCTTTTTCCAGTCCATACAATTGTAATGTCCTGACAAAAGCTCTCAGTGTCCATGTAGCTATGACAGCAAAACCCTCTTTTGCCTTATTGAAAAAAAACAACTCATGCCTCCAGATTCTTCTGTCAAAGCTATCAAGCCTTCTTAGCACGCTTTGGTTTCTCCTTGCAGCCCAGCAAATGTCTCCAGCAGCAAACGCCTGCAAAGCAGGCCTGCAGTCATTCCTACTGGACAGCAGCACCATCCTGGTGGGCTTCTCAGTGTTTGTTATACAGCTGCTACACAAGAAGCTTCAGTGCAACACAAGGCCACTGTTTATCAGCACTTATCAGGCCAGGACAGAGCGGGAGGCTGAGAGAACCAGGCCTGCAGAATAACAGAGGCCCTGAGCTGTCAGCTGCTACCTCAGGAGCAAGGCCATCTCCATGAGTCACCCCATGCTCCAACTGCTGGAAAGTCCTAAGCAAATGTTTTGGTAAGTAGCAGATAAAAGAGCCCTCTTAAATGAAACTATCAAGAATTGTTTGCATGGGAACCTGCACTGACACAGGGCAGCCTGCACTTCTGAGGGCAGAAGGTATCCCAGAGTGCTATGGCTGCACAGCTCTGGCTGCTGCTGAGCCTGTCCTGCAGCCACTTCTGTCTGTGCAGAACACACCCACAGCCAGCTGTACCTGCAGGTGACACGGTGCACATGATGGCAGGCTGGAACTAAATGAAAGCCTGAACACTGCCATTATCACACATCAGCACACCTAACCGAGCTCCTGCAGGCAGCTATGGGCATGTGGCCCACGGCAGCATGGTATGAAGAAAGGCAGGAGGGACAGCTCTGGGCTATGGTGCAAAAGCACAGAGGTAGAGCTGCTCAGAGCTCCTCACACAGTGCAGTTTTCAGTTTGTGTTCCTTCTGTCCTAATCACTAAGCTGTTGGCCATAAGGACAACATTCCCCACAATTGTCAACCAAGGACTGCTTAAAGTTCAACATTCATTAGGATAAAAAAGTAGTGTAGTTCCAAACAGGTAACATTTTTGGGAGATGAAAGACCTGACAGTTGGTCCCTGGGCAAGATCTTATGCTGTTTGTGTCTAGGGATTCGAAGTGAATCTTTACCCAAAGCTACAAAGTGATGACCCAAGTTCTAGAGCAAGGCATGATTTTCACATGCACTCATACGAACAGAACGAGAAGCACCACATCTCAGCACAGTAGAAAGTGCCATGTAAACTCCTTGTATCACTTTATTATCACTTTATACTTCCTGAGTAAAAGACTAGGGACAGAATGAATGGTTGGTTTGAGGTCTGGAATCAGAGACTACCACTGCTTTCTAGTTCTTCAAAAATGACCTAAAAGTGGTTTTGGGCAGTGGTTTATACTTAAAAAAATGTATGAAAATTGGCAGTTTTTCCTAATGTAATTTTTCTTTTAAACCAATTTCATAAAAGTTCTGGCAATGGCTACATCTGAGATCCCACATTATATGGAACTTTCTGCTTAACTTTGTATACGTTTACGAGCTGATCTGGTTTTAGGTAACAAACTAGAAAAGTAGAACTATATAAAATGAATATTAAGGAACTGAAACATATGAATAATAAAAGTTTAAGCTTTGGCAACTGAAAGTGATAATGTACCTTTTGAAAAGATTATTTATCTTATGTTCAGTAATTAAGTATAGTAAGAAAAAATGAGGTATTTTTGGTATATGCTGAAGACAAGGGGCAAAAAAATAGACAACAATGGCATATGATGGCAAAATGTTTATAGGAAGCAGTGGCATTTTGTGCTAGCATATGCAGTTGCTACACTTACATAGATTTTTAATATTATGTAAATATATGTACTTTAAATCGAATTATAATAAAATTTTCCCTATTGCAACTTCACAACAGCTAGTTACTGCATTCCTAACCTTCACAAATGAAATTTTATAAAAAAATAAATCTCATACATAAAAATAGAAAACAAGTAACAGTAAAAATTGCAACAAATCAATATTAGCTTGGAAGATAAGATGATTTTCTATTCAGACTCTAAGGTGGTTTGTTTCTGTTAGGTAGCAGTACACAAGGTAACTTTCAGCATAACTTCAATTACTCTGATTTATGCTGCTTCAGCCAAGAGTCAGCACTGGTTCTATTGGGCAAAAGCAAGTTCACCTAGAATTCACTGAAGGAGAGTAAGAGAAAGCTGCTGTTAGGTTAACTTTATTGTATGGCAAATACAAAGTTTTATGAAAGCCTGTAATAGGTTTCTAGAGAAAGAGTGAAAGTAAACTTGCTTTTGGGCTCATTAAAAAGGCTTATCAATTGCATATGTAAACCTCTTGCTTAGGATATGAGATTAAACATTGCTAGTACTCCCATTAGATGCTCTTCTAACTTGGTATGAAAACAAATATGATTTTTAAAAATTATTCAGGACTATTTACCTCATATTTAAAAAGCCAGCAAATGCTAGCCTAAAGTCAAGAAGTTTTAACTAAGAAAAGCTGAATTTTACTGTTTGTTTCTTTGTTTTTTTTCCTTCTGGACAAGGCTTTCAGCCTCTTTTATTTTTACTCATCCTTTCCCACTGCCATCCCCACAAATACACAGATTTTACTTTCAAGATCAAAACCAAATAATTACCCATAGAAAAAACAACAACAACAAACTGAAAAATCAAATTTAAATTTAAAGGTTTAGCTAAAGTGAAACTAAAAATAGCTTGTTGATTTATGACTAGTACACTTTTACATTTGGGATCTAGTTGAAATCCTAAGACATTTTAAAGATGCTTTCTCTAGGAGTAGGTTATAGAAACATTCTTTTGCCTCGCAGTTGTATCATGGCAATCCCCACCAGCTGGATGATGTAAGGATAGAGCACAGCCCTGCCAAAAAGGACCTGAGGGTACTGGTGGATGGCAAGCTGAACACGAACCAGCAATGTGCCCTCACAGCCCAGAAAGCCATCTGGATCCAGGACTGCATCTAAAGAAGTGTGGGCAGCAGGGTGAGGGAGGTGATCCTGCCCCTCTACTCCGGGCTAGTGAGACCTCACCGGAGATGTGGAGTACAGGAGAGACCTGTTGGAGCATGTCCAGAGGAGGGACAAAAAAAGGACTCAGTGGATGGAACACCTACCAAGACAGGCTGAGAGAGCTGGGGCTTTCAGCCTGGAGAAGAGAAGGCTCCAGGGAGACCTGGGAGTGGCCTTTCAATATCTAAATGGAGGCTGTAAGAAAGAAGGCAACAGACTCTTTAGCAGAGTCTGTTGTGATAGGACAAAGGGAAATGATTTCAAACTAAAAGAGGGAAATTTTAGGTTGGATATAAGAAAAAAAAGGTTTTTTACAATAACAAGGGTGAAGCACTGGAACAAGTTGCCCAGAGAGGCGGTGGATACCCAGTCCCTGGAGACACTCAAGGTCAGGCTGGACGGGGCTCTGAGCACTCTGATGTAACCGTGGATGTCCCTGTTCGCTGCAGGGGAGTTGCACTAAATATCTTTAAGGCTCCTTTCCAACTCAAACAATTCTATGATTCTACGAATCTATGATTCTGTGTTCTACGAGAATGTTTGCTGTCAGGACTGGGATATTGCTTAGTTATAAATTGAGTGGTTTTGCACAAAAAGCCCTACTTTCCAGTTCCAGTTTGGATTTGTGAAATGAATTAAAACTATACAGTCACTTCTTCCTGGAAACTATCCATCCCCAGTTCTAGGCTCATCAGACATCTCCTGGCAATTTTTCATTTTACAAGCCAACATGATTCCTCTCTTTTATAAAGACTTGTCCTTTGAGACTACATTTCCTGAAGTCATTTCCATTTTTAATGTTATGCTATTAGCACTGTCTTTAAATACATTTTATATTTAGCTCCATTTAGCTAGACAAGGTATTCAAAAGATGCACATTATATATCACAAAAACAGGCTGTCTGCCCCCAGAGGACTCATCTTTCAATTTGATTTGGGCTTTCTAGTCAGGATTTTTACATCCTAACATAGACGGTGCCGTGTTGATGACTCATAACTTGCTGTGTGATTAGAATACGCTGCCAGGTACAGTGATGTCTCCTTCGTGTCTTCCCTTCATTTAACATTGAAAAAAATAATTTATTTCCCTATTTTTTCATATAATCTGATGCATTCAGGCACTTCATGCATTCCTGTTACTGTGCAATGAGTGTTCATTGAGTTCGTGCAAGTTCACTGCTGTGAGAAGATGCTCTTATCTATGAGAAGAAAAAAAATACATTCGTGTGGTAGAAATACAGGAGTTTGGGTTTATTTTTTGTTTATCTAATAAAGAATGGAGCAAATTCTTTGTTTAATCCAAAAGAATTGTCAAATACAAAAGCAACTCAAAGTGGGCATAGAACTGCATACTCCAATAGTCCTGTGGATTTCTCTTATTTGTTAAAGCACACTTGCATAAGTCTTCATGCATCTGTGAACTAACAATGAATACCTGTCTGCCATTCTGCTTTGATGTGGGTTCTCACTAATCCAGAGGGATACTTCAATTATATTGGTTGTTGAATAATTATTATTTTAACAAAAGGCATTTCAGCTGTGTGATTTGTCCATCTTGATGTTTAAGGTGTTGATACATGTAAAAGCCCACTTCAAAATTGTTATTTTTTTGTTTTCAGTAGACATTCAGTAGAAATATAAAGTGGATCCAAATGTTGTATTCTTTGTCAAGAAGTTGGTTTTTTCCTTCTTTTTAATTAGGCATTTCCTTTCATTTAGAATAAAACCCTGTTTAATTTATCTTGATTCTGATGGAAATAGTTCAGTGCATTTCATAGGCTACCTGACAATAACGCAAACAGCGGTCGATTGCTGATAACAAATTCATCAAAATAAAAATTGTCACAAACTAATTAATCTCATTCTAAAAATCCATAATAGTTACAAGTGATTAGTTATAACTGTGTGTGTAGTTTGGTGCATGTGCAAAGAGAGTAAGAAACATCTCTTTCTACATCTGTCTTGGTGAAGAGCATGAGATGAGAAGACTAAGCACAAACCTTTCGCATCTCCAGCTTCACAGGTCTTCAGTGCAGTCTGTGAAATTGCAGACAGGTACTCATGAGACAGAGGCTGCAAGCCACAGGACTCCTCTGGGTGAATTTGAGAGCCACAGTCCTGCATAAAAATGAAAAGAGTGAAAATGACAGCGCTGGAACAAATCACATGGCTTTGAAATCCTCTGTAATGACATGTAAGGAACAGCAGTGTTTGGGGTTTGCGCTGCAGTTCTTTCACATTTAGCTCTCTAAGGTATTTCTTAACACAAAATTTAAAATTCTTTTTGCATTCAAACAATGGTTTAGTAATAATCTCAATCCACAGTGTACAAGACACTACATTTGCTAAAGATCAAAGAAAAAGTACATTCAATTAATGTCATTTTGTTTCTATTTATCAAGCAATCCCTACTTATTTGCTGATGGAGATTTTGTATGCATATTTGCAGTTATGTTTCTCATATTTCTCTGTTGAAATGTCTCAAAGTCATTTGAGGAGATACAGGTGCAAGAGGAAAGAAAAATTCAGAAAAAGAGACGTGGGCTTGCTGAACTTCATGAGGTCGGCATGGGCCCGCCTCTCAAGCCTGTCCAGGTCACTCTGGATCCCTTCCTTCTAGTGTGTCAACTGCATCACTCAGCTTGGTTTCATCTGCAGACTTGCTGAGGGTGCACTCAATCCTACCATCCATGTCACCTATGAAGATGTTAAACAGCACCATTCCCAGCACCGATCCCTGAGGAATGCCATTCATCAGCAGTCTCTACTGGGACACTGAGCCATATCAGTTCCAGCTGGAGTTCAATAAGACACAGAATTAACATAGAAAGATTTTATCTATTATTGGCTTTTAGAAAGCTGGAATATGATTCTAATCTATTCTATTCAAACTGAAACTGTTCTATTCATACTGAAGGTGCCAGCAGCTCCCAAAAATTTCAAAGGAAATATTGAAGAGAATAGTGATTTCTGACCAAAAATTTTAGCATATGTGAGTTCTTAAATTTTAAATATTATATCAATGTTGTGCCTTACAAGCAATAACCTTCAAGCATTCACGGATGATATAAATAACATCACAGCATTTGTAACACTGGGCAGCTCTTCTAGTAACTTTAGACAGCTACAGTATGTATGGTTGCACAAATTGCCAATTGCAGCTGTCCTTTATTGTTTCTGAAGAGAAATAACATTGATATTTTTGATGTTTACTTTAGGACAAAATGAATCACATCCTAACAATGCCTTCCCCTCTTGACTGTAAAAAGAGTTTAGAATCCACAGGCATATATCTAGTTATTTCAGATGAATCTCACTTCAAATTACTTTGTAAAGATACTCTTCCTCCATATTGCTTTGCCCAGTTTTTAAACACTGTATGAACAATGAAGACATGCCCCTTTCTGCCTGAGACTGAATATTAATAATGTTAACATTCAATATTCCAAGACTTGCTTTGTAAAGGAATTTCATATGCTTATTACTTCTAATTATTAACAAAACATACAAACTATACAAATGGAAAAACACTTTCAGTGGAATATATTCATACCATACATTCATTTCAAGAAACAGTATTCTTGAAACTGAAAATAAGAATAAAATTCAATTTCTTCAAAACAAAAAAACTGATTTAACTGTTCTTTTTCTCCATTGAAATATGATGATTTCTATTTTTCTTTTCTAAACTGATGTTAAAATGAATTAGACACCTGCCACATACTATCATTCTCTGTTTCTGAGAGATGCTAGATCTGGGATGCTGTTTCTAAATTGGACCAATGGGTAAGTAATAGTTATGTCCTAATATTGGTGAAATTTTGTGATATAATCAGTGCCCCTTATATTGTTGGAGATATGAATATATGGTGGGTTTTAGTAAATACAAGTGTGCATTAATTATTTAATTAAAAAGTAAGCAAAATAGTTGCCTCATATGTAATACGAATTCATTTGATTCCCTGGTTGAAAAAAAAAAAAAAAAAGTGAAAAAAAAATCCTCCTGTTGACTTTAAAGGGCTTCTGCCATCTCTATGTATAAAATGTCAGAAGAACAGCAAAATATCTGTGGGTTCTATTATATAATTGCCTTGTTTTATGCTCTGTAATAATGCTCTATAACTAAAGAAAGCTGTTATGACAAAATGAATGGCACAGTGTCTTCTAGTTTCAAACTGTGAGCTTGTCTTGGAGCCTCTGGATCTGGACAACCTGGACAGGTATTTGACAGTATTGCTTTAACTAACCTTAACACAAGCAAGCTCCTGCTTTGCAGTAAAACAATTTGCACAGCGCTTCACAAGAAAGCTCCAAATTCCTGAATGAGCTGCTATTGCTCTCAACGCAGTGTCATAAAATTATTTAACAGGGATTTTCTTGTTCATACCTCTGCTAAGGGTATGTGTTTAAGCAATCAAAAATTGACTTTAGTTGCATTCCTTGGGAGATATCTTTAACAGAAGGTTCATGTGGCTTGTTTATTAATAAATAGTAAAAATTAATTTGCGAGCCACATTTTGTCACTGATTTATGTTGACTTTGTGTGTTTTCAAATCACACAAGTCATGAGTTCTAAAGCACTGTGCTTGTGCTTAATATGTAATTCTAGGATCATTGAGAGACTGTGAACCCCTGAAAAAGCATTATTTGTTTCAGCTTCAGTTTTGTAGGATACCAATCCCTTATCATCACTGACATGCTAAATTTAATGGGCAAAACTAATCTGTGGCAGCCACAGATCCAGTGCAGATGCACCACTGTACAGTGCATTAGAGGCTTTGCTGACAGCTTTCAGATTTTTTAAAGTTTCCTTGAGATGCTGTGGTGACATGACATCCTTCTTGCCTTGCCCAAAGATGAAACATCTTGTGATCTAATGTTTACAATCACTCAGGGCAAAGACGAGAGCCAGACACATAAACTTAGATGATAGTTCTTGCTATATCAGTTCTCCCTTCTCCCAAAAAGGTCCTGAAATGTCTGGACTAGAAGAAAACTTCCCCTCAGCTAGAATTCATTCTTCATGGGACTGTTTTGGTGTTTTACTAGTAAACTTCCATTTTTACAGAAAATTTGCTAGAAACTAACAAATAAAAGAAGAATAAAACCTTCTAATGTACATCTAGAAACCTATCAGTCAATATCAGTTGATACATAGGGAGCATTTCTGATGTCCATCTGCTGTGTGAAGAGAACTGTTTCTCTCCAGAGCACACTATAATGAATGATTCTTCATAATGGGTATTTGTCTTTATAAAGAAATCACAGAGATTTTTGAGCCTAGTACGCTAAAGTTTTCTCAAATAATTTTATTGGAGCTGTCAGTGAACGTTATTTCATTTATTTATAATTTAATAAGTCTTGAACAAAAAAGTCTGATTTTACAAAAATTTTGTTTAGCTCAGCATTCAATAATTGAAATATATATCTATATACACATATATGTGAGAGAGAGAACCATAGCACTGTAAAGATGATCCATAGTCATGCAATTAATATCATGGAATGAATGTCTTATTTAAATACTGCAGTAGCTGCAATTATGCTTTAGATTAAGATATTGATGTTCAGTACTAATAGATTTTTACTTGCTATTATGCCTTTTTAGCACCTCCTTTCTAATGAAGGAATAATTTCTCTGCAATCACTGTAATTGCCTACATATTAACACTTAAGTTCCTCCTAACTGGAAGGATTTGAAAGAAGAGAAGAAGCCCATAACTTTTCCAAGACAAATTATTCTTCTGTGTTCTTTTTAATTGTCAGTGCCCCAGCAGAGTGGCAGTGCACCATATAAAGAAAAGGAAGTATATTTTAATGTTTTCAGCTGATATTACAAGACAGTTCTGCCTTTTATAAGAGGAAGGTACATTTTTCAGAACCTTTCTGGAATAACCCATGCAAAGCTGTTGCTAAAACTATCACTTTCTCTGAAAGTAGACATGTTAATGAATTAAATGCTTTGGAAACTCTCACCCGGGGGGGGGAAACCCTCACCCTCACCTCTGTGTAGGCTCCATTCCCAGCTTTTTCAGCATTCTTTCTGCATTTATGTTAAAACTCTTAGCAATCCATGGGAACGGTGGGCTCAGCACTTTGAAAAACTGGTCAGCTTTGCTTTGCTTAGGAACTCATGTCTGAGATTGCACCCACCCAACACAGTGAAGACCACGTAAGCATATCAGTATCTTTTTAAAGTAAAAAAAAAATAAAATAAATAAATAATAATAATAATAAAGCTCATAGGAATTTGTTTTAGCATTGCATACAAACAACACATAGCCAAAATCCTGTGTCCCTTTAGTACTCTAAGCCCTCTTGTCTGGGAGCTAGTGGATGAGCTAAATGTCATTCACTAGTTTTTGGCAAAGAAGGGAGATTTTCCAGTCACCGTGCTTTGTCTCTGAAGCCTTTGGTCAGCGCTGCCCATCAGCACTGCAGCCCAGCCTTGGCCTATGGTGCTGCTGGGGCTGCCTCATTGCTTTTGACTCTGTTTACATTTGAGACATGACAGAACAAAGCTTGCTGTGAAAGAGATAAATTTAAGTGATTTTCTGCTGGCCTTTGTAGACTTGCTGACTTCACTTTATTTGATCTGGTTCTATTTAAACTGATCCAGTTCCTCATGGAACACTTTCATCTCTCCTCTCAGTCCATCTTTTTCTACAACTTTACACACAACTAGAACTAGAAGTGATTAAAAATGATGCTATGGAAAGAATTCTAATAAAATTAGTCAAAGGGTGAGCTCACGAAACAGTGAAATTGTATCTTATTGCTAGGGAATAAATTGTGAGCAGATGGATTAGTTCCACTCTAACGACTTTATTAATATGGCAGTAACAAATGAAGGAACAGTTGGCATGTTGACTTCTATTCAGCTGTCTCCCTCTGTCCGGCTGCATTATTCAGTGATAAATGAACCCCCAAAGATTCATAGATTTGGGCAGGTTCAGATAAGCGCCCAATATTAACTTCATTAAACTGAAACTCCTATTTGCACAAAAAAAAAGGTCTAGAACACTGGCATGGAGGGAAGCAATCTTCTGAGAAGTTTTAGTTCACTTTCAGCTAGAAAACAATGACTGTTACTTTCCATCAAGCATTAATGCATATAT